ATTTAAATGCCAAACTGAGCTTACTAAGTTTTAAAGCATACAAGTATATTGCCACAGTTAGACAGCATTAAAAAAAATTGCCGACTGAATTAGTTTAAATTTATAAAATTGTAGCTGTCTTCCATTGGGCGTTGGTCATTTCTGTGCTCTCTTTTCAAAAAATTTACATGTAAAAGTAACAAAAATGTTATCGAGCTGAATTGTAGTAAGAGAGTATGCGGATTCCCCATTAAAATCGTATAACTTTTATCTTCAATGTTACCAAGTTTTGGTTTACATATTTTAGCTCACTTTTACTATTGTGAATGGTTCAAATGACGTATGAAAATATCAATTCCTTTTTTTTCTTGTATTTTTAAAACATAAGACTCAAAATTAATTTTAATAATTTATAGAAAACCATATTAAAGGGTTACTGCAACCTTTTTTAACGCGAAAAAATTAATTTTATCACTAAGAAAGAATCATAACGCTATTGTGCATGCGAAGATATGTTAGCGCAGGGTTGCACAACAAGTGGTGCCCGTTTGCTTGGAGCATCTGGTATTGTTTGTTCGATTTGCTGGATAGTAACGCTTGATAAATCGAAGACAGCTAGTATTTTATTCAGTACCCAAAAATTAACTCGAAAATAAAAAAACTGTGAACAACTTATTTTCAAATTCAGTAATTAATATTAAAATGCAAAAGAAAAGTTAACGATTTTCATAATAAAGTTTAGAAAATATATTAACAGATTGATAACATTTGTAAGCATTTTTACCTTTACAGGTTATGGCTCCTTAAATGTTTTTTAAGAATCATTAAATTTTGGTTTAAGATTTTATCAAAATATGATTGTTTACATTTGTTGCTTTCAATTAAGGTTGTTAATTACTTTGCACAAGAATACTAAAACTGATTTAAAATTAAAAAAAAAAATTTATTCAATTAAAAAAATTAAAAATTAGTGGCAACCCAGTTTAATAATTTTATAAGCCATGACAGAAAATATTTGGCAAATATCATACTATATGATGCATTGAACTAAATTATAAATAAAGTATTGTAGTAAATATGGCAACCCTTTGAAAATTTTAAACCGTGCCTATGTAAGTTCTTGTTAAATAAAATATTCATAGTAGCACATTCATCAAATTTTGGCCTTTATACCAAAAATTTGTTAAAGTGTGGCAACCCCGTGTTAAAAAAGTTTAATTGAACTCTTTTACTTTGTTGACCCAATACCAACAGCATTTTATTTATTGAAGTGTTGAAATATGTACGTGCGGATACTCTAGTCAATGCTGCCTATTTGAGAACATTATGCCATGTGAGCTGGGATAAACGCACAAAAGACGCTTAGTAGAGTTTTTTTACACCGCTCACGTTGGCTGCGACAGAATAATAGAAAACTCCGCTATGCAGGGTTAAAGTTAGTAAAAGTCTATAAAATTAGCAAATATCAAAATTGTATAGGGTCACCATTGGTGCATATTATTGATAGCCTATTTGGTTACTTAGTAACTCTTTTAAAGTTATCGAATTTTCTGACCTTGGTAAAAAAATGTTAGTTAGTTATGATAGAAAGTTGGACCATATACAATGAATTGATATCTACTTTCGTAAGAAGAAAATAACCAGTCAACAAGGAGTTATCTCTATTTGTGAATTTCAAAAAAATCGACTTTTTTTAATACACATCGAATGTCCATATAGGAAATTTTTCCGAAAACTCTCAAAACTTTAAACACGTTCTTCCTGAAATGCTATTTTCAGAGAAAACCTCATCGAAATCACTGGACCGATCGTCTTGAAATTTTAGACAGCCTTCTTAGATATAACTGTCAGGTTATATTAGATGCAATAGTCGTTTGATAATGCGATTTCTTAAGCAAAATTAGAAATCAAAATTTCGACTAGTTCTTCGATAATTACGTCTATTCATCTATTGTAATTATAATTTTATTTGGTTTTTGGAAGCGTATATGTTGAAAAACATGCGCCTTCGAAACAAATTCCCAAATTGTATGTAACCTCTTAACATAATTTGCAACATATTGTGGCAACATTATTTTAACAAATTTTAAGTACTCAATTTTAAAAACCCACTGACGCCCCCGTTTCTTCAATAAAATAAGCAAGCAATTTTTAGCGTCTTTCTTTCTTTTGCTGCACGTATCCTACATGTATTTATTTTATTGGCGTCATTCATTAAACTCAAATGCGATTAAGTCACACAACGAACGACTGCTTCAAATAAAACTTGAGGAGATAAATGCTACCAACAGTAAAGCACGTAAGCGCTTTTGTCTATCCATCAAAGCCAACACATACCGACATGCTTTATGCATGGTCAAGCGTATTTATATAGGTGTATGCATGCATATATGTGCCACTATAAAGAAGATGCCGCAATGGGGTTGCCCTCTTGCTAAAATGAACGGAGAATGCGGCAGCTCATAACTTCAAATTGACAGCGTTGTTTTTGTGGGATTATAGCGGTATTAAACGTCATTTTAGTGCACATAACGACACACGTATGTATAGTCGTATATATATATGTATATATACATATATTTATACTCAATACACACAAGCAACCCTCTACAACATCCTACATACGCTCCTATATATGTATGTGTATTTGCTTGCATGTGTTTGTGTTTGTTTTTATTGTCTGCATTTCACACCAACTGCCAACTGTCATTCATCATTTTAAAGAAATCGCACTTAAACGGATGAAAAGTGTTTGCGCGAGTCTCAAAAGCGCACAAGCGCCCAAGCGTGTGTAGGTGGTAAGTGCTGTTACGCTGCGTGACTCAGATATTCGCTTGCAACGGGAAATGGTCAGCACATAGCAGCGTAGCCACTGGTGCCCTGCGATGACAGCCAATGTCCACTCAGCACTAGCAGTGTATGTGTGTGTGTGTGTGGGGTTGCCACAAATAGATAAAACACGCTTCGGATTATGTGGCCAACAGGCAGTGTTGATACTGCAGCTATAGCGAAAACAACAACAAGCAAATGTCATATAAGTAATAGAAACACGACACTTTGCTTAGGGATCCGTGCTGGTGGCATAGCTTGGAACTGCAATGGCTTAGATAGCGTGCAGAGTAGCTAAGCGTGAGTTTTATCTGCTGTTGTTGTTCTTGTACATATATATAGCCACATTTATGTACATATGCAGACCAGCTGCCCGCTATCGTCATTTGTATTTATGTATATATGATTGCTAGTCGCTTTAAGCTCTCGATGAAGGGATTGTCCAAGCTTGAGTGACAGAAACAAAAGCTCGACAACAACAACAAAACTCAAACTATTAATAGTTTGTACGTTGGACTTGTAGTTGTAACTGGCAAGCAACAGCGACAACATGTGCCAGTGGCAGTTGAGGTGTCAATAAAATTCATATAACATATATGTATGTATATACACACTCACACACAAAGCATTTGCCATTACAACAAGTGGCAAAAAGATATGATAAACTTCCACAGTAGCGTCCCAATGTCAATTGAATAAATTTCATACATGGCAAAGTTATGCTCGCACGACCATAATAAGCCCATCGCTCATATCAGCAACCCCTTGTCAATTTTAATCTACCATTTACCCCCCTCACTGCTTATTTACTCGCATTATCGCACCCGCTGCGTGTTAGTATCTCAAGCTGTTCACGTTGTTTTTTTTTATGGATTTTTTTATCGACATTTTGTTATGGCGCTCACTTTCATGCTCGTCAATGGGGGCCACTGGGGCGTATGAGTGATCTGCCTGCACTTTGTAGTTGAGTGTGACACATTAACCTTCAGTACTGATATATTTTTATATGTGTATATATATTATATCTGTACGTTTTGCAAATTTCAATCGCTTCTCATCTTCTTATCCTTAAATGTTGCGCTGGGCGGGAAATGTACACTGGACTATGGATTACACTGTGGATTAGTTGATTGCTTGGTGTTATTTTTCGTGCGATTTTGTCACCGCTTAACTGAGTGTTTGCATGTAATGAGTGCCAAGACGTGTAAAATGAAGAAAATTACATATCTAAATGTTAATCATTTTTAAATTGACGAGAAATCAGACATTAAAAACAGACTGCGGAATTATTGGAATCACGTATAATTTAAATTTCGGATAAAATTCAAAATTTATATTATCTTTCTGTCTATTTTAATAAATAATTTATGTGATTATAGATCCTAGTATGGAAATAAAGCTTAAACTTCCTAAGAAGTACAAGCTTTAAATAAAAGATAGTACACTTAAATATTGGACAATAGTTGTAATTTCGGCAAGAAAATGTAGTCACTTTAAAATGCTTCCGAATTATACCAAATTTACATATAAAAAAATCTAAGAAATTGATGTTTCCAAACTGAAAGCTTTCATAAAAAGTTATATTTTTATATAGAAATTCAAAATAGCAATATTTTAGAAAAAAACTTAAATAGTAGCATGTTTAAAATTTTATTTTTTGTCACAATCTTGGTTTTTAATTAGAGGAATGATAATATAATATAATCCTCTGCCAGCCACTGGCAGTAAACACTTGTTTCATTGTCTTTGATTCTACCTCAAGACTGAAATATTCTACTACATATGTAACATGACAGCTCTCAGTAGCTACATATTCCTTTCATTTTATTTTTGAAGAAAATTTATAATGGAAAAACGTTGAATTATTAATTTGCAAAGTATTTTCACGCTTTTGCTTTTCTTCTAAAATAAAATGCCTTTTAATGATATTCCTTAGTATTGCAAATTTCAAGTATAGCGTACGTGTGTTTGTTCCACTGAACATTTTAAAAGAAAATCGATATCGTTATTATATGCTAAGAGTAACGCTGCCCCGATGCTGCTTTAATATAAAGAACAAGTTTTTCATAATATTGCTATTTTATTTCAGTCGGAAAAAAATTCAAGAAGAAAAAAAAAAAATTCTCAGACACTTTTATCTACACTTTTATTAATTATTTACTCTACATAATTAAGATAAGTACACAACTCACCCAGCAATTCAGAAAAGAGCCATGCCAAACTACCTGAAAATAGATGAAATTGAAATATTTAAAAATAAATGTCTTGCTTTGAAAAAATATGTAATGTCTAGAACTAACAGATCAAAGGAAATCACAAAATATATTAGAATAATTTAAATTTTTTATTATTATTTTTAACTTTTGTAGAACAAAAAAAAATTTAGGTTTAAATTTGTTTTAAAATGATTAAAATTGTTTCCTCCCAATATGCACAGAGCTATTTCCATATTACGTATTAACGTATTTCACACCTTTATGTCGTATTTGCAATACCATTTTATTTATTTCAAAGATAGTAAAAAAAAAGTAATACCATTTTCATTTCGTTTTTTGCTATGTTTCATTCTCACCTGTACGCAAGCACGCTTTAAAGAAATCTTTCTAATCATAACGTAAAATTTAAAATACGTCACTAAAGATATATTGCATAGACATTAAGAAAAAATTAAAAAAATTTTAAATTATGGTAGACCATTAATTCTTAATTAACGAAGCGCGCTTCTCACAATCGTCAATTTTTTTCTTAAATGCAGCACTTAGTTGCTATGTTATTCATATTCGTACATAAATACATACTTTATAACAAATCACCAAAACCTTCAGTCGCGACTCAAGCAGCCACCATTTCTCATAAAGTCAGACAAATTAAAAGCTTTTAAAGACTTACGCGTCTCAACACGCAAATACGCACACGCACACACATCTTTGACTCATTATAAAATAATCTATGCCACGAGACACGTCCCCCACCTACCTCATCCACAGGCAATGTAAATAATTATAGCCTATCTAACTATCGCAAAGTGCGTCATAATTTGTAGAAATCTCCGGTGACAGGCAGATAATGTAAATGTAAATTAAAACCTATTTCAGCGCTTAACAACCTGCTAATTGCTTTTCACACCCAGCCATTGCGACATTAAAATTTGTACGCACGCTGCTACAAACGTGGTGGACTTAGCGGACTGTTTTGGCTATTATTTGTTTTTGGTATTGGTAACTGTTTAGCTAGCGTCTGCTGTGCACGTATACGCCATGGCGACACGGCATTAAAAACTCAAGCGCACGATTGCGCACAACGATGGAAAATGCAGTGTTGTAAATGTTTTGTTGTTGTTGATTTTGTGCTTGCCGTTGTAAAAACATTGTATTAATCGCCAAATGTCAAATCATTTTTCATTTGACATAAAATTTATTTGACATTTAAGACAAACGCAAGATGAAGGCAGCCGAATATAAACGATATGCGGACATTAGGATGGGTCGTTTAGTACGGAGAGGTTCTTGGAAAAACTAAACAAAATTTGGAAAATTCAATTAAAATGCCAAATAATTTTAAAGAATATAAAGATTTGAATATTTAATTTTTAAAAACGTCTTCTCGTAAAAAAAGAGAAATTGCAAATTTCAATAATTTTAATAATTTCTAATAAAATATATTCAATTGTTCAATTATTTTAAAAAGCTGTTTAATTTTTTAACTTAACTATTGACATTTCACACATGGTATATTATGTGTGAAATGTGAACCCTAATATGTGAACCCTAATACTCACATATATAAACAACGCATGTAAGCGCCAGCAACCACTTGCTTTCTGGCAGTCTTATAGACGGTAATAGACACAAATACATACACCCCTACACACACACACACACACACCCTAAGAAATCGAAAGTAGCAGTTAGTAAGTCTATGAAAACGCTAGGCGTCACAGTGGCTGCCAGTGAAGAGTAATGTCAACAGCGCACAAATGCACACACATACAATCAACTAAGTGCGCCAAAGCTGAACATTAGAGGCGCACATCTACAAGTGTGAGTATTTTTAACAGCGTTTACTCTGAAAGCTCCAAACATGCCTGCTATAATATATATTATCGAATGGCTGCACCGTTACTCCATACTAAACACGCGCGCCAGGCATTGCGGGTGTGCCAGTCAGTTGTATGGCAGCGCGGCCATTGAGTGCTTCATGCTTGTCATCAATCTTATTTAATAGTCGTTCGCACAATTGAATTATTACATGTGTCAGCTGCTGCTCACACTCGCTTAGTATTGAGCACAAAGCAGCGCATCATCGCAGCGAGTCTGACAGTCTTCTAACGTTCAGATGGGCACCTAAGCGGGTCTATTTGTATCATATAAGTATATCAAAGGTATGTAATCCGCGTCACTATGCATCATTCACATGCATTGCTTGCGCCAATTAAGCTAACAGGAGGGAAAAGGAATAAAAATGGTTGTTGTTGAAATAAAGTTATAGGATATGTTACACAGAAAATAGCACAGGGGAGGACTATTTAAGAAGTACTAAATAAGTTTATGCATTCAAGAAAACTGCATGATTTGCTTATTATATGAGCAGCTTCCACTCACAAACGCCGAGTTTAATTTTATTTAATTTTATGTACCCAAAAAACTTATGGTCACACCTCAATAAACTTCAAAAATAATAACGTTCAGGTGAGTTAAAGAAAAACACAGATTTTAACAGATGTTTGAGTTGCATCGGACACAACCTGAGCACGGGGGTATATCCTCTTGCAAGTGAGGAAATAATAGTTTGTGTTGAATTCTACTTGCATAACAAAAGACAAGGTACATTAACTTAATAATCGGCGATTCTTTCTGAAAATTTTTGGAATTACTTATTCCAGAAGACGATCTCCAGGAGGACCTTCGCGAAAATGTGTCTAGCGGTGAGAAAATTCTTCTGTTTAAAATTTTAGTCCAGCCGTTCTCCGATTCTGAAAACAGCGTTTCGAGCTAAACGTGTTAGAATCTTTGGGAGCCGATTTAATTAAGTAGAAAAATTCCTAAGAATACGTTCATATCTCTGAAACTATTCGCCATATCAACTTCAACTTTTCGAATAATATTTTTAAACATAAGCAACAAAATCAATTTTTTTAAATTTACAAGTGAATATAACCCCTTAAACTAAAGTCTATAAAACTCCGTGTTATTTTTCAATAAAGTCCAAAAATACTTATGTGTTTAAAGCGAATTTAAGTTAAATTAAATATAAGAAACTTGATCACTTCGACCTAAAGACTGATCTCACGGCTGAACAAATTATTAAAGAAAACTGTCTTCTGCGAAATATCAATTTTTACAAGACGGTCGGAGCTATAGCTTATAATATTTCTGTTCAAACATTTTTAGTATTCTGAGAAATTCACATATTTCTTTTTTTGTAATTATAGATTTCTCCACAACAGAACCCGATAAAATTCCTTTCTCCTATTCGACTTTATATGACCCAATTTTTTGTTTAACCAAAAGAAGTCAAACCAAGATATTTACTTCCCTACTACAAGTAGTAGAACAACACTAAGACGACGATATAAACCAGTCTGCAGAGGTAATTTCCGCTCAAAGTTAGTATTTGTTTTTTTCTTAAGTGCTACTTGCTTGCTTGTTTAGTCGGCTGGCTGTAGTTTCGGTGGCGACACTGGGTTGCCGTCATTGATGAGCTTGTAGTGTGGATAAATATTTTTTTTCTTATAGCCTCCTCCCCTCAAATACTTAAACACACATCCATTACTTGCCACTTGCGCTTAAACACAATGAAGTAACTGCCCTTGAGTGTTGTTATTGTTGTTTATTTGTTTTAATGTCTGTGTCATATGGCCGTTTCCCTGGCGAGCACTGAGCACTGTCCACCACACTCCCTTCCGCCCTACAATTGGAAAATTTTTGCTGATTGCTGGCAGCTGCGGTTCGTGGCATTGCCACTACTTACTATTTTTGTGTTTCTTTTTTAACCATTTTGCCACAGTGCCAATTCATTGCCCCACATGTCGGCTCTATGTTTCACCACACTGACACTGATATCGACATTATTGGCCAAAATTAAAACAATTTCAACATTTTACGCTTTCGTCCGGCGATAAATAAACTGTCAGTGTCATGTTATTGTCGAGGTTATTGTTGTTAGTGTTGCTACTACCGAGCTCACTGCGGCACACACATTCAAAAGCATACATGCCACAAATACAAAACCAGCTGAATGTGCGCGCGCGTGTGTGTGTGTGTATGTGCGGCACTGCATACACACTTAACTCGTTTTATTACTTTATTGGCTAATGCTGTCACTACTTGCTGCTGTTGTTGCTGTCGCAGCGCAAATTTACGACCAACAACAATCAATATGATATACAGCACAGCGGAGAACATCATAATAACAACAACAGTAAGGAAAAAGCATGTGTACATGTGTCGATACATGTGTAAAAGCGAAACTGCTTTGCTCTATGGTGCCACAACAGCGCCCCGAAAACAAAAGCGAAAGCAACAACAACAACGAAAACAAGAACACCAACTGACCAAATTGATCCCGAATATGTCGATTGTCATAATACGAAATTGGTGTTAATAAATATAAATCAGTCGTGTTATGGTCGCTGCAGCAACAGCGTCAACGCAACAATAACAACAACAACTACAACACCAACAACATACTACGAGTACATGCAAGCGCAGCACAATCGCCACATTTGTCATATAAGATCCAATTCTCGACCCTTTCGGACCTGAGCAAACATTAAGGCAACAACAATGGTGGGGGCGACAGCAACAACAACAACACCTGTAAATGGCGCACAAGTCAAATGGCAATGCTCTTAATTTCAGCAAAAATATTGACACTAACAACAACAAACAAATGAACACACCAGTAAAATACAATAAATATATGTGTAGTACGTATGTATATATGTATGTGTGTGTGTGTGTGTGTGTTCGAGTGGTAAATAAATATTCGGTGTGGCCATCATATTACAAAATAAATGATCAAGCTTTGCAAGTGTTTTTTGCCGCACAGAATTGGCAATCACTTGTTGTGTTGTTGTTGCTTTTGTTGTTGTTACAGTAGCAGTTTGTAATTCGCCAGGACAAATTGCCTTATGTCATGAAATTGGGTGAATTTTTTATTTATTTGTATTTGTTCATATGGGCAAAAATGTGTCCCCAGATTGAAATTAAACACAGCAGTGATA